TTTTTATGAGACAGAGTCTTGCTCTGTCACCAGGCTGGAGTGCAGTGGTACAATCTTGGCTCACTGCAACCTCTGCCTCCTGGGTTCAAGCGATTCTCCTGTCTCAGCCTCCCAAGTAGCTGGGACTACAGGCACGGGCCACCACACCCGGCTAATTTTTGTATTTTTAGTAGAGACAGCGTTTCACCATGTTGGCCAGGCTAGTCTCGAACGCCTGACCTCAAGCGATCTGCCCACCTCTGCCTCCCAAAGTGTTGGGATTACAGGCATAAGCCACCGAACCTGGCCTCATTTTTTAAAGTAAATGAATAAATGGACAAATGAGTAAAAGAGAAAGTCTCACACCATGAAAGATGCTAGTCCAATGAGCTAAATACAGAGGTAATATAAATTTCTTCCAGCTGTTGCTTTTCTGTTCGCAAGATGCCCCTCCTGGGATAGGAGCATAATCTACATCACTGGCCAGTCACAGGACTCTGTTGCCAGGTTGTAGTGTCCTCTCCAGAGTGGGGAGAAAGGGAGCTATGCCTAGCAAAAGTACTCTCTTGTCAACAATTTCCATTTCTATTCTTTATAGGACACTAGAAACTAAAAGCGACAAATAATCTGATGTAGGTCCTTGTATAGCCATCCTTCAATTCAGATGCAATATTTTCCGGTCACTACTAACCTGTAGTGTATTAAAAGGAGACTATTGGAAGGAAATGGTGCTAGAACTAATGATATATTTTACCAACCTTTACTCAACTCCTGGGTTGGCAAACAGCAGGCCAAAATGCCATCACCTCCCACTTGGAAGCCCATGGCCGACAGCATGAAATAACTGAGCCCACATGTTCCTTCCACATCTTCCAAATCCCAGGGTTGTGTGTAGGTAGCCATTGGAGGCCATCGCTACAGGCATCTAGCTATTATTGCTGCTGTCCCCCCCCACAGCTGTCTCCAGTTCTAGTTCCTTGGTTGCCAGCCAAAATGGGGGATGTTCTGCATTCAGTGGACTTCAAAAGAGTTTTGAAGCCTAATTTTTTTGTAAAACAAGTACTTGAGATTTTGGTTTACCCATAATAGAATGTAGCTCATTAGATTCTCTGATTCTATACAAGAATGTGAAAAGATTCATATGTTGTTGTTAGAAATAATGTTATTTCTTTC